CCTCAGTACCGCTTTTAAACTGTGTTTTGCCTTGGATGCGTGACCTCAGTTTCCCCATCAGTGAGGTGAGAAGAGTGGGTCTTGCTGCTTGTGGTGGCTGTGTGAAACAGGTCCGGCGTTTCAAGTAGCTCCGGGCAGAGTGAGGACTCCTTGAAAGGTGAACTGTCACCATTACAGTCGACCAGTTAGTTGCGCGCCCGGCCGCGTGCCAAATATGTGCACAGCACATACTGTTCTCGCAGCATCTCGGGGACAAAATGTCTCTGAGGGACGGAACTGCGCTCTCAAGGTCGGTGGCGCTAAGTGGCAGAGGTGGGATCCAAACCCCAGCGTGTTGGGCTCCAGGGTCGGATCGGGGGCGGGTGTAAGCCGGCGAGGGGCTGGTCCCCAGGTCTGGGCTCCTCTCCTGATCACCGCTCCCGCCCCCAGGTCGGCTACCAGATCCGCTTTGAGAGCACACGGACGGCAGCCACCAAGATCGTGTTCCTGACGGTGGGGTTGCTCCTGAGGCAGATCCAGCGGGAGCCCCGCCTGCCCCAGTACCAGGTCCTGATCGTGGACGAAGTCCACGAACGCCACCTGCACAACGACTTCCTCCTGGGCGTTCTCCGGCGCCTGCTGCCCGAGCGGCCTGACCTCAAGGTCATCCTCATGTCGGCCACCATCAACATCTCGCTCTTCTCCAGCTACTTCGGCGGGGCCCCCGTGGTGCAGGTGCCCGGGAGGCTGTTCCCCATCACGGTCAGTGCTGCCCCCACACCCCCCCCCCGGGCCTCCCACCTGGTCTCTGGCCAAGCCGGACACGTCCCTTCTCCCCTGGCCTGCGCAGACTCCCATCTCTCAGATAAGGACGGTCTTGCTCGCCCTCTCTCCCTTAAAGCTCCTATTTTCTGAGCACTTCCAATGTGCTGTGTAGGTGCTCAGGGCTTTGCTGCAGGAGACCGGAAGTGTAAAGATCAGTGTTCATTCCTCTCCTGTGACAGTCCTGCTGGTCCAGGCCGACGGGCAGCTCTGTTCCACGCGGTCATGCGGGGACCCGGGCTCCTCTCTCCTCCTACTCTGCCATCTCACGGCCGGATTTTCTCCATCTCCCAGCAGCATCTTCCGCCCTGAACTTTGACCCCTTGGCTCGGCCTGTTGGCTGGGGCTCGCGGACGGGTGTCGTGGGCAGTCACAGGGAAGATGGTCACAGCTGACGTGGGTTGAGTGTGGGTCGTCCCCGCGGCCCCAGGGGCCCCTAACCACAGCCCCGGGTGTCCTGCGCCAGGGGCTTCTGCCCGTGAGGGTAGAACCGAGGCTCAGAGACGGGGAGCGTGCTCACAGACGCAGACAGCCTCTGTTAGCTCTTCCAGATCCCTTTTCCCTTCCCGCCTTTCTGTCTTGCCCAGAAGGGGCCCCGTGTGGGTGGCACTCACGGAACGCCTCCCTTCTGGCATCCGGCTTCCCGTCGGCCCTTCAAGATGGTCTGCACCCGCTGTCTGTTTTGTGCTTTGGTAGTCACTCCTTCCTCTTGCACCGTTGGCCAAGAATTAGCGAGAGCTCTAGAGTTCTTAGCACAAGGACACTGTGGTTTCGGGTTCTAAATGCCCATCTGTCTGTCTTCCCAGCAACCATAAAAATAGAGCGAGGATGCTTTCCAGGAAGTGATTTTTCTGTTTTTTTTTTTTAATTTTTTA